AATACTGCCCTTGAGTTTTTTCCCCCTCCTTCTTTCAAGTGATTAAATTAAAGATCTCAGGGTCAAAAGCCAGTATTACTAGTTCATCCTTTACACTTTGCAAGCATAAAAACTGAAGAGAAGCTTTTGACAGTATCAAGTTAATAATCAAAAAGCAAGACCATGATTGAATAAAGTCCTACAGTCAGACATAGGAAGTACAACAGGCAGTAATTTTCTGAAACAGCTTAATGGCATTCTAAATTTCTGTTAAATTAATTATGCCATCATCACTCAAAATACATAAATTTTGAGTGCTTATGGCAAAACTGTTAAAAAACAGTTTTGCACAGACTATGTTGCTCTGCTCCTTTAACTCCCCCTTCCCTCCCCATCTTTTCACACAGCAGCCAGCCTCTTCTTTCTTCCACTCCAGCTTTATCCCATTACAGTCACAATTTTGGAGCAAAATTCCTCCAAATGCAAAAAAATCAGTTTTAACTTCTCTGCAGACAAGGAGTTGGAGGCCCATGTCAAACTCAAACTAATCCTAACTTCAGATCTATCAAATACTTCAATGCCAAAATGAGGGTAAAATTTACAACAATTTTTTGTACACCTTAGGCACCAATTAAATATTCTCTGAGACCTATTTTAATAACCTAAACCTTTCACACCTTAGTTACATTTCACAGCCTTCTGTAGAAATCACTGGGTTGCATCTGAATGAACTTAACTGCCCTCACCCTCTGAACAACAGCAACCTGTCCTTCTCTCCATCTCATGAAAAATTAGTCCATCTGTTTGTACTTGTCCCCTTCTCATAGCACTTAGGAAGAGCTTCACTACAACACAGCATTTTCTCACAAATTTCTCAAAATTTCTCTTATTTTAAAGCTCACAAACAAAAACAATACCTTGTGACAGGCTGCATGAAAACAAGTAGCAGAAATGGGAGATCACTTCTTTTTCTGTAACAAGGTAGGACAATTTCTCTTCCCTTACATTGTATTTCAAAGCACTGTCAAGTTTTGAAAATCACCTATTTGGAAGAATAAAACAAATTCCCAGATCCTCAGTTTCCTCTATTGTGAGCACAAAGGATGAGAGAGGTTTTTTATAAGGCACAGGGACACTTTTCATTTATCTTTTCTGCTACTTCTCACACACATTTCAAATGGTATAGTGAGACAGGTGCTGGAAGAGTCCAGTATTGTTATGCTAGTTTCAAGATCAGTAACTCGAGTTTTGGATGCAGCTAATGACTGAGTCAGCTGGCATCTGCCTGAGCAGCAATGGAAGTGTGCAGCACAAACAGAAGTTTTAATTTACATCATTTACTGTGATGATTTTTCTCCAAGTATCTGAAACTGTTAGAGATAGTATCAATTATAAAGTAATTAATGTAATCATTGCAAGATTACAGAGAAGTCACTGATTGTAAAACATTATTGCATGTAGGAAGGATAGGGAACAAGCAGGTTGAACCCTGGATATCCATGCAGTTGTTGTCACAGTAAAAGTTGTAAACGTTGTTGTTGCACAAGGCTTCTTCCAAGAGACACGGACCTTGCATTAAAAAACCCAAACCTGGAAAAAGACTGCACAGATCAGCATCCTCTACCTACTCCCCCGGCAGTAATTCCTTTACTTTGATTTTGTCTGTACAACTAGTCTTTATATTCCTTGCCTGATAGGCAGATTAGTTTCTGACTAAAAGATTTCATTATCACCACTCAACTCTGTGCACTGACTCATAAGCATCAAGGTGATTCAACTTCTTCAAGAAAAATCACCACTACACTTTAACCGGAATACACAGCAAGTGTAAGTCACAGAAATAACTCAAGCATCTTAGCTTAATTTTAAAAAGCTTGACAAACTCAGAGCTAAAATAAACAAATGCAGACACTTTGCATGATGAATCTATGCACACAAGGTTGAAATATTTGAACACCAGTTCCTGTAAGACATACAATATGCAACAGCGTTGCTGAGGGTTGAAAACACAAAATGGAATTTAACCTATAAAATATAAATAGTTTTTACAATTAACTGTGAACTGCAAATTGAAAATGCTTTGCCTTGAATTGATCCCAAAAGGCATTATTCTAAGTTATCTGTGATGTCATATGGGTGTACAAGATTTCTGGCACCTTCCTCAAAAGCATGAAATACATGAAATCCTGAAAAGGTGGCAGAGTCAACTCGCTACCTTTAAAATTTATTTGTGCACAAGGTATTCACCAAAGCCTAAGTAGTGAAATTAGCACAGAAGCATACAGAAAGCAAGAATTGTATCACTTTCCCTTTTTCTTCTGTATTTCATTCCTAACAAGAGCAACTGCTCTGACAATGTGTATTATCAATAGAAGATAATACTGAATTCCTTCTTTCTTCTATCCCCGTTGAAAGGCTGGCTACTCAGAAATTAGATAAAAAACACAGAATGGCTTGGTTTGGAAGGGACCTGAAAGATCATCTAGTTTCAACTCCCTGCCATGGGCAGGGATATTTTCCACTAGCCCAGGTTGCTCAGAGCTTCATCCAGCCTGGCCTTGAACACTGCCAGGGATGGTGCATTCACAATTTCCCTAGGCAACTTGCTCCAGAGCTTCATCACCCTCAAGATAAAGATTTTTTTGCTAATATCTTATCTAAATCTACTCTCTTTCAATTTAAAGCCATTTCTCCTTTTCCTATCATTCCAAGCCCTTGTAAAAAGTCTCTCTCCATCCTTCTTTCAGGCTCCCTTCTGGTACTGGAAGGCCATAATTAGTTCACTCCAAAGCCTTTTTTTCTCCAGGGTGAAAAATGCTCCATCCCTCTGATCATCTTGGTGGCCTCCTCTGGGCTGACTCCAGCAGGTCCCTGTCCATCCCATGCTGGGAGCCCAGGGCTGGATGCAGTGCTCCAGGTGGGTCTCAGCAGAGCAGAGCAGAGGGGCAGAATCCCCTCCCTCCCCTGCTGCTCACGGGGCTCTGGATGCAGCCCAGGACACATAGCACACAACAGAAACGATAAGGTCTTTTGAGGATTCTGTGATTGCTATATGCTGTCACACAAAGGGACATGAAAGAAATGGTTTTACCCTCATACACTTCTTCACACTGATTCTTCAACTTTTATGACAGCAAAGATTATGCTTTGGTCAAAAGCAGTTATTACCTCTAAAGGCTAATCGTTAAAAAAGAAGCATAAATTATAGCTGACTACTTTGTTAGTTCAAAAGGCACTATCTTTGTTTGCTTGCAATATCATGAACATACTAAGACCAGAACTAATTCTGTCACTTTGGAAGGAATAACATCAGACACGGAGTTTAGATTGATAAGTCTATTAGAGCAGACTTAGCTAATCTAAGTGATGCATGGAAGTTAATCTAGTTTATACAATGTCCAGGTACAGCCAGTCTTTTTCTGTCTCATTCTGCATGACTTTGAAGTACAATAGAAGGGGCAAACAGAGAGAGGTAGAAAGAAAATAAGCAGACCACACAAAGCAAGGACACAGCATGCTCCTGAGGAGCTCCTATCTTCTCTCCACACTTAGAGTTACTGCATGCAGATGTTATTTCTTCCATATGTTATTTCAGCCATAAAAGAAACTGGGAAGACAGTAGGCAAGAACAACCTCCTCATTCTTCACAGGCAAATCTAAACTAATTTCTCTTGTCTAGCCCAGTAGCCATCAGAGGGAATGAAAATTCAGGGATCTATCTGGAACTGACACCAACATAAACATCACTTTTAGACACTCCTGTTTTTTTTCAAATCCAAGGTTATTTTCTATTAAGTAGATATATATTTTCACTTCATGAATAATAAAATGGAGCATCATTCATATTAATTCCTATGGCTTCCCCTTTACCTTCCCAGTATCACAGAAGATTGAGTAACTCTCCCATCAGCTTTCTCATGTTTTTCCCCTGTTAGCATTTTGCACTAACTTGCCAGCAAGCAAGAAGTGCAATTCAGGTCTATGACCAGAAATATAGGGGGGGTCAAGCTGCTCTTTGCTTCTTTAATTTACCAATCCATATTACACAGCAGTAAAACTTCACCAGCAGTTATGTTTAGGAATTAAAAAGTCCTACATTCCTCCTTTCATTTCCAGTCCCTGGAAAGGAACCTACTACTCTTAAACCACCGACCTGTGAAAGACAGAAACACATTCCTGTGTATTCTGCAGCTTTATTTGTACATAACTCAGGCCTTAAGTCACGTAAGTAATTAATGATTCATCCCTACCGATACTATGCTTTTCTAAAGTTTAGTGCAGACTCAGATTCAAGGCCTCAGAAAACTAACACAAAATCTGAACATTCTTAGTGTGAAATAAATCAAGGAAATTATTTTACTAAATAAAGGAATTACTTTTGTAATTATAAGATGTCAACTACCCTCTAGATATAGTCTTCCCTTCCAGCATAGTGTACTAGTTTGTTTTCACAAAAGACATGATTGTGAGTATTACTGCACCAATATTCAAGCTATTTTTACTTCTACTTAAAAGATCTTGCTCTTGATGCCCTGTACTTCACTTTCAGGACAACTAAATAAAACTCTTTAAATTATCTGCTAACAATCACAGAAAATCTAGAAATCCTAAATTTAAACCATGGACTAGACAGGAGTTATTTTATGTTGAAGACAGAACTAACATGGAATGAGAATATTTTATTAAAAATAATGCTGAATGCAAATCTTTTTATCCCAGAACTCCTCAAGAATTCAAGTTTCAAACTCCCTGAATTGCTCTGGTTGGAGAAAAACTGAGGGGTAGAAAGGATCAATGGCTGGAAAAACATATCCCAGTAGTCATAAGGAGGATTTAATTTTTCAGAAGGAACACAGATGGGTGGCTCCTGTGGTGTTTTGATTGAGATTACCTCATTTTGCATAATCTTTTCTTACAGAATTTTAAAAAGCCTGGCAGAAGGAGAGGCACACACCACTGGAAAAAAAGCTTCTTAAAAAGATACAGAAAGCAAATAGGCTGAAATCCAGCAAAAATAGTACCATTCAGTCCACATGCTTGTTCCTTTTCCATCGGGTTGGCCCGTCTTCTCCTTAAAGCATTTTGAAGGTTGTTTGCACCATAGATAATATGGGGATGTGGTGTTCCCTCCTTCTGTGGATGATTTTTAATGGGCTCAATGAAGTAATCTCCATGGGGCAGATGGAAATACCCAGTCTGAAAATAAGCACAAAAGAGTTAATCTCTTCTGTTCAGTACTAGAAGACAAAAATAAATATACTCTTCATACCACCAACCCTGAGCTTTCCTCACAAGCCAGTCATTACACTGAGAAATATGAACACAACAGGTTTTCAGTACTTATTCTGCTGCATGCATCTAGGCTGTTTTACACCTCACAGTCATTACAGTCCAAAGGGAAAAAGAAAAAATATCTCCTTCCTAATAACCTGAAACTGAGTCAAAGACTCTCATATTTTTACAAAGCCAGTAAAAGGTCAAAAGCTGATTTGACAAACATGATGCACAAGGAAGAGCTGCATCTTGTTCTTCTGGTGCTTTGCATCCATTCCCCAGAGAACAAGACTGGAATAGAAGCTGTTTCATAAGTGCCAAATCAAAATTCTGTTCCCAGCTGCAGTCCTAAAATCAATTACCCAACCCATCAGATGATGGACCACTGTGTGGTCCAAGTGGGCCTCAGACTATAAACCCTCACTGGACCCCAGGCCAACACTACAATGGAAGCAATAAGCTTTTTGTGAATTAGCAAGCTATTAAGATCATCCAGTGTATCAGCTAAAAAGGCTGCAACATTTCACATGCTGAAACTTCTGTATCAGCCTCCCTGCTTTGCCTACAGGGCCCTTGATACCCATCTGGACTGCACAGGATCCTTCTACACTCACTCTGCCATGATCCAGGACACACTTCCAACCAGGCATGGCCTCGGTCCATTGTGTCTCAGCATTTCGGCAGGGACTGCAAACATTGCAAAACCATGCACTGCCCTTCCATGTCAAGATATATGGAGCAGTACTAAGTCTAAAAGCAATGGATCTACTGACAACCCAGACCACACCGGGGATGGGTATTCCAGTCTTATGGTTGTGTTTCCTCTTCACTTCTCTGCTGTGGTCAGTCCACCTCTCTTAGTCTATTCTAGAAGAGGAGGAAAAGCGCAGTAACAGTCTGTTCCTGCAGCTGCTGTATTCAAACATAGAATGGCATACAAATTTTTTTTTGAATCTTTCTAAATATTCCAAAGCCTTAGAGTTGCTCTGGATGGTTGGGAAAGCCAGTATGAGGTTAAGGATATGAAGGAAATCATATGAATGGAAGAAAAGCACTCTTATAAAACTATAAAACAACCATGGGCTCAAGGAGACAAGGGGCAGCTCAGCGAGACACCTTCTGCCTCCACACACATTGCCACAGGGCCAATACATCCTGCAGCAAACTTGTGCAAATAAATAACTGTGACTGTCATTTCACAGTTTACCCAACAGTTCTGAAGATCAGAAACTCTTTCATTCCAATGGAAGTCAAAGTTTTAAAGCCAGAGGTTGGTGCTGGTTCGAAGCTGTGTTTATCAAAGATGCAGGACTCATAGTCACATGAGTTTGTTCATCTGGGATTACAGCTACTGCCTGTATGGGTTTTGTTTCATTTTTAAGAAAAAAGAAACTGCGACTTCTGATTATTAACAATGCACAAAAAATGCTCATATTTCTTTTTAAATCATAAATCAAGGCATAGGACCAGAGTCACACTACAGGAGCAGCCGTTTTATCCACGTTCATGCAAGAGTGAATCCATACAGCAAGAATGCATCAACAGTGGTCAGACCAGGAAATCTGTGATGTGACTTTCCTCATGCTGTTCAGGGAACCAACACACCTCCACAAATCCTTGCCCATTCCTTTTCCTTCCACAGGTTTCAATCTTTCCTGGATATTTGTAATTTGTGACTGGATTATTTTATTATTTTATGGGGGTTTAAGCCAGTTGGGAACAGGAAGTGTATATTCATTTGCAGACCCTGATTTTTAGAGCAAGTGGCAATGGTTGCTGGATTATTCTGTCAAGGTCTATCTGCAGCAAGAAAGTCCAGACAATCCTATAAAAGGTGAAGTAAGCCTATCAGTGGTAACTTCAAGCTCCCGCATCAATGCTTGCATGTCAAAATTCAGCTGTATATCCAAGCTGTATGGAGCAGGGAAAAAAGCAAAACTTCATTATATGAATGTGACTGTAAATGCCCATTTCCAGCACATAGGGGCATTCCAAAAGCTTCCAGATACTTCCACCACTTACTGAATGCCTGCTCTGCATTTGCACTTTCACCCTGCACAGGCTATCCACCAAGAAATTAAAAGCTGACACGGAGACCAAGAAAAAAAAGACCAATCTTCACATTAAACTTACTTCAAAGCACTGAGGACTGGCAAAATTCCCTTTTCTGATTAAATACATCTTTAGTTTTGGTTCATAGCTGTTCTTTTCTGACTCACAAATATAACAGCAAGAATTTTTCATTTCAATTCCATCAGATTTCAAGCTATGTAAATACAATATAAGCATTTTTCTGAACTTCACCTGCTCTTGAGAGCATTCACACAGCCTCAGGATACACAAAGGAGGGCAGTTATGAAAGCCTCATCAGAAAAAAGCCATTCATATTTACATTAATGAAAGGGTTTAGTTACCGCCACTGAAAAAAAAAAAAAAAAAGACTGCAGAGAAGTTTTCCTGATCTGAACTTTCTTATGAAAAGCTACCATGTAACACAGCAACAGACATAGGCAGAAAATAGGGGTGGAGAGTGTGTGTGTGTGTGTGTGTGTGTGTGTTTCTCCAGGGGAGTATGTGTTTCCCAAGCCTACAGGTGAAAATCTACTAATCTACCATAGTATATTTTATAAACTGCTGTTCTCCCCTCTTTCCAATCTCACTCTTTACCCTCAAATTATGACATGCTGTGGCTGCAAATGTTTACCATACTGTATTTGGGAGTGCTGCCGCATCATTTAATGGGATTTTTAATTAATGTGCCTCATTATTTTGACACAAACAGCTCCCTGAACATATCACATTTCCTACATTGCACCTCACTGGCCAAAAGGACACTCACAATCCTGGAACACCTCTGACTTAAAAGTTTTCAACCAACTGCTTTGATTTTCAGTAGAATCTGCATTTTCCAGTGGAAAGCACATATTTTTCACATATTTCTTTCGGTCAAAAGCTTGGGAGTTTGTCAAAATACATTTTCTGGCATATTTTTTCCAATCAGTTCCACGTGGGAAGCTGAAGCTGAATCCTGTGGGAAGAGAAAGAACAGTTTTACCCTTGACTATGGTTTTGAAATTGCAATACTACCCCAGAGAGCAGGGCCTGGAATTAGTGGGTGTTTGTTAGGAGAAAAAGGGAGGAAAAAAACAACAATCTGCAGTCCAAAGTTACAATAATAGTATGTTGACAATAATGTCAAAAAAATAACATCTGTAGTGAGAACAGCGAGTAACTCCCTGAAACCAAACAGTATTTCTGACAACAAATTTCATACAATATATTTTGACAATCAGACAGTGACAGAATCTGAAAATACAGTGACTTTTAGAAGCAATATGAAAAAAGAGGACAAGATTTGGGTTATACTTTTAGGTACCTTGCTCCAGGTGTTTATTATAACTGCAAAACCTGGTAAGAGAAACTAGGTTTGAATACAACCATTAAAGAAAAAAATGTAGCATATGAAACATGCATTACCAGAGAACTGCAGCTGCAAATAATCTAAACTGAGCTGGTGAAGTAAATGATCTGTTAACATTACACACATTAAATTTATTTTAGCTCATCCCTTAGTCCTTTCTCTATGTCCCTTCTTTTATCCACAGGGATTTTTCTTTTTTAATTTCTCATCTGTTCCTATTTCAGCCAAAAGAAAAACCTTGTTCCTATTTCAGCCAAAAGAAAAACCTAGTATCCTGAGGAGATTTTTCACTACACCCTCAGACAGAGCTAGAAAAAAAAATATACCATGGTGTTGCCCAGAACAGAAAAAGGTTGGGGGTTTTAGGTATTGAGTAATTTGATGGAAGATTTTTATGAACACCATCCACTCTTACACACTTCTGCATAAAAAACCTATGTTTTCAGCACAACTAAGTGAAGAAAGTGTTGTGATGCTGAAACACACCATTGTGGTTTAACAGAGCTTTGGTCTGAAAAAAAACCCATCTTATTTTTAGGACAAAATAAGTAACAAATCAGAATACTATCCTTCCATGAGATTTTAAATGCTTTTGTCACATTTGCTATAATATTTTAGGAACTTACAGAAAACTGGCCAGAAGTGCAGAGTTATGCCATGGACAATGCGAGCTCAAAAAGTTCAGACACAGAAAACAGGGAGAAAGAAATAGTCAAATGTACCACAAGATGGATTTCTGTGGAAGAAAATAAGGCATCTGGAGAGGAAAAGATTGCCTGACATCCTCCAGTTCCCAGGTTCCTAAGGAACAGACATCAGTTCAGGATACTTCAGAGATGGTCTTTCTGGCTGGGAGCAAACCCTCAGGCAAGGAGGGAAGTCAAGCCTCTAGGGCCATGTCTGTCAGCTATCATACAACTATTTTAGATACACGATCACTCAGAGAGACTTGGCAGAGAATCAGTCGTCTGGGTTATAGCACCAGCTTGATGATGCTATTCGGCTTCATTTTTCTATTCACTCTTTCTGGATGAAGGTTATCTAGGATAAGTCTTAAGCAGCTAAGACATTAAAATCCCCCAGCTGTCATAAAAACATGTAAGAGAAGCAAACAATCCAAAATATGCATTCATTTGCCCCTCTGCTGTGCCACAGATACAGTTCATTAAATAACTATGAACCAGGTGTCCCTTCGATGAACTTTGAACTCATTCTAAGCTTTGCATCTCACACAGAATCTGAAGCAGCCTAGGTACATTCATTTCTACTGAAGGAAATTCTCTGTGAAATTAATTTTCTGTAGAGACTGCAGCATGTTCACTTGAAAATGTACAACTTTGAGTACATAATTTTAAAAGACATCTTTGTTCATGCTTCATTCAGGTCATGGCATCCTCCACTACTGTCTTTATTGTCCATCCTAAAAACATTCATTACTTCTTCTATTTTGTGATTTTCCTTGAAAATAAACAGTCCAGGTATCTTACTCCTACATTTACTT